CCACCTGTGTGAATCTGCACAACCAAGTGCTGACGGCCCTACAGCCGCCACACAAATTCAGGTCTAGACAAATGCCTGCCGCAGGAATGGTAAAAAAAAAAAAAAAAATCATTAAATATTTATTTGTTTCAAGCGGGTAAGTAGGCCAGCCTCCGAAGATGGTTTTCACTGGTAGGAAAGCCAAGACAGGGCTGCAGACTCTACGCCAAGTGACAGGAGGTGATGGGTGTCAGGCTTCGCTCCTCTGCACGCGCAGCAGTGAGGAGGTGACTCTTTCCTCTTCTACACTGGGGGCATGTCTCAATGCAGGAGGAGAAGGTAAAGGAGAAGCGACCCCACCTCCTTGTGCAAGTCTACAGGGCAAGGAAGCAACGTGGCCGACGAGGGAGATGCTTAAATTTTGCGGCACAACCCGAGGCTGCCCTGGGACAGGCTCCCGGCTGCTGCCAGCATTGCCATAGGTCCGGTTGCTCCTCTACCCCTTCCTCCTGACCCTGGAGGGGTTCCCGGACTGCCCTGACTATCCAAGGGCTTGTCCATGCCAGGCAAGGGTCCCCCGCAAGGCTGAATGCCCGGTTAGGGCACACGCAGCCGCTGCGCGCTCAGGAAGGCGGGGAGAGCTCCGAGCAGCTGGTGAGCGCTGCCTTCGCTTGCACCTTGTCTCACGGCGCGCTCTTCCTCCCATGCGGCTCAGCAGTTGCAGCTGCAGCCCTGGGCGCGCAGTCTGGCTGCAGCTTCTCCTCACTCCTCACGTCATGTCCTGGGCAGGACACAATGGGAAATGTGGACACCTGACTGCTGATACGGAGCTCCCGGTGATGGAAAACGGTCTTACAACGAGGAGCCATGTTAGCACGCGAGCTAGTGGAAATGACTGTAAACCAGACTTTTACACTCATCTAAAGAGGCTTCACTGCCCCTTGAGTTGAGTGTGTTTTGTGCCACCCTGCAGGGGCAGAGCGAGCTCAGGGTGTAATGGTTTAACAAGCCCAGTGGGTCCCATGAACACATTCTGTCCGTGCAAGGACTTTATTTTCAGAAAACCCCACACTCTGTGTGAATTTGAATTTAAATACCACTTTCTCAGTCAATTGAGAAAATGTTCGCTAAAGGGTCTCATTTTGGTATTTTGCTTTTACCTCAGACTGGTTTCTGATGAAAAGCTAGGGCATCTTGATGGCAGGTGCCTTCTCCTTCTCTAGCTTATTGCATTTTAAAAGACTTTCTCCTTTCAGAGCAACTTTGCACATACTATGTGCAAACTCCAATTCTCCATTCACAGATATTCTGTATCCAAAAGGGCAGGGCGAACGCTTTGGTATCTCAAGGATAAAACATGTTTTTGAGTGCAGAGTTGCCTTCACCCTGTCCTCACCCCAGGCTACATCCATCACAAACATCGATCTTGTTGTCAGAAAGCATCATGCCAGAAAAAGGGTTTGCAGTTTTTAATTCACAGATCGTTCAAAAGAAAACAGAAGTCTTGAGAGTGACTGCTTACAGTATGAAAACTCTCCAAGCACTGGAATTTGAAATATTTTGGGGGCAGGAGCCTGGTGCCACAACACGAAGCCGGTCTGCGAACGCCCACTGATTTCCAGGGACTTTGGGTCGGATCTCGCAGGGTTCGTCTGGGCGCCCACGGGTGCAGAGCCTGGAAGGGAAACGTGGCTCCAAGTGTCCCAGGTGCTGCGAGGTTGGGTTAGGACGGAGTGTAAAGCCCTTTGTGGTGCCTGGAGCCTCGCAGGAGCTTCATGGTCTCCAGGGGAGCTGCAAGGAGGCAGCCAGGACTGCCCGCGGCCTCGGAGGTGACCAGGGTGACACAGCTCCCCGGGAAGAGAAGGAACTGAACAGAGGACTCTCGTTTCCACAGACAGTGTGTTCAGTCTGTTGGCTACCAGCCAGGCCATTAATATGCAAACTGAGTGTGGGTGGGGAGACGGTGCAATCCTTATCTGGGCCTTCTTAGAGTGCCTAAGACTAGACATTGAAAGTACACTGCTCTTCATTTCTAGTAAATACTAATTTTACCCTTCTTAGGAGCTGTTATTTAAATCAGATTAGCTGGGGGTGACGACTCTGTTGTCACAGTTTACTTGAATGTATTAAAAAAAAAAACCCAAAAGCTAATAAAGCTGTGACAAATAGCTCATCTCGTGCAAAATACTGTGTTTAGTAAGCAATGGTCAAGGCCTTCTGAAGGAGTCAGATGACTACCACACTTGAAGACAAGGGAAATTACTGGGCCTCTCAAATTTCCCTCTGCTCTTGAGAAAAAATACCCTTTGTTTTTTGGTCCTTCTGAAAAATATTCTTCGCTATTCCCATTTTCTATCAGATCAGCTTTGACTCATTCTGACCCAGACTCGGCGCATCCAGCACAATCACATCTCTTTTTAAGGAGAGGCAGAATTAAGTCATACAGTTAGAGCAAGTCTTTCGTTACAGACTTCTACACCCGCCCAGTCCAAGGGCTGGATACCTGTTTGCTTGTAGGTCAGCAGTGGCAGCTGGTGCTCTACGAGGCACGTATAGGTACCGCTGTGCTACACGTGACTGCAGAGCACTTGTCTAGAGACGGAGACCTACTTCTGCGTTCAGAGATTGTCGTGAAAATAGTCATGATTGGAGAGAATTTGGAGATCAGGTTTTTTGATCAGGATGTGAAGAGTAAAATGCTCCTCTCTGATTGAATGTTTCAAAACTACACACTTCAGCAACTCATAACTGTTGCTGCAGACAATTAACGTTGGCAGAGAGCCAGACCAAAAAAAAAGAAAATCACAAACTCATTTCCACAACGTGCTAAGCCACACGGTATTTTGTCACAAGCAAAATACTTGCTGAATAACAAGCCTGAAAACAAATTCATGACTCTAGCAACCTCTAAAAATTTCCTAACATACCTCAGGGGCCAGTTCCCACTTTAAGACCACAACACTCGAACATAAAAGTGTAGTTTTTAAAGAAAATAAGCCTGACCACCTTGCTCCCTGTGCCTGATCCCTATCTGTAAGATGCAAATCAGCTCAGTGTCTCGTGATAGAGGTGAGATATGTGCAGACACTACCATGGGGAGTACAGAGTGGGCACACGGGTGGTCAGAGGGGAATTATCCCTGTCTGCATGAGTCATCCACTGAAATTACTGGCACTTCCCATCCACGTAAAGCCTTTGTAGTAAGAGGGGGCTTTGAGACAGGGCTCTGGCTTGGGGGAGTGAAAAGCTGATTTTCTTCCCTCATGATAAAGGGGCGCCTGTCAGCCTGGTTCAGATGTGACCCATAGCTATTGGGGATTGCTGAATATGACTCAGAGCGTGCTTTATTTTTGTGCTTGTGGAGGGTTTTGTTATTGCTTCTTGGACTGGTTCTCCTTTTCGCTGACATCACACTCTATGCAAAAAAAAAAAAAAAAAGCTTTTTGAGATCCATTTTGTCTAGCTACCACATAGAAGTATCTCTTATGATCAAAAATGATTTAAAGTATTAATCATCACAAATGAAAAATGATTTAAAGCCTTAATCATCAAACATAGCTACATTAGAGTCTAAAGACACAAGTGTTTTCAATAAGCATTAGCAGCTAAAATGTTGCAATCTCCAAGAGTACCTTGTACCAAGAGTGAAACTCCAGGAAAAAAAGATTTCCCCTATGAAGTGGGAATTCCCACTCTGAATTTGGTAGCTGCGCTCCTGAGGATACAAGAGAGGAGAGCAAATGCAACTTGGACACAGCAGAAGCAAAGCAATGTAATAACTGCATTAAAACAACATTTAGCCCACAAATCAAGAAAACTATGATCTTTGAGGGTGGTAAGGTTTAAGGTCTAGTTGTCCGGCCTTACAGCGACTCCCTGAAATGCAAAATTTGCTGACTGAAAACCAAATCCTTCAGTCAATATAATCCAGACATTCAAAGTATCACTCAAAATCAAGCCCATTATATGGATTTGAAATCAGTTTAGTTTAGGCAGATGCCTGTATCTGCAGCCAGCCCTCCTGCAAAGGAAGGTGCCAAGTGGCGTTGAGGGTTTGGGACAACACAACGGCCAGCCAAGGTGAACCCCAAGGAAGAAGTTCAGTCAGGGAATGGAGCAGCAGCAAAACATGGGGCTCAGGAAACCAAAATCAGGGGAAAGGGAAAAAACAGTGGAGTCAGAGGCCAGGGAACACTGTGAAGGGGCCAGACTGGGCTCCAGGACATGGAGGACAGGAGGGAGAAAGAACAGAGGTTTGGCCACCTGCTGGGGCCTCTCTTCTCTGGGGTCTGGTGCCATTTTGCTGGGGAGGCCTTTGAGAGCCTCACCCAAACTTCACCATATGTTTGAGAATGGCAAGGATAAATCCCTCCCCTACTCCCAAGGCAGTTCAACCTACTAGAGACCATTAAAATAATCCAGGTAAGCAGGAACTACCCCCTAGAAATGTAGATCTGGGAACTGGCAATGGGTTTCTTTGCAGTTTTGAGCAAAACCTCACATACGGGAGCACAGTTGTTCATGGAGAAGCTGCAGAGCACAATCTGGCACCTGCTCTGTTGCTCCCTGCTCATGACCCATCACAAACTGCATTCGTTCCCTCCTCCCATTGCCCTAATTCCAGGTGGAATCTTGGTGCTTGGAGAGAAATGTGCGCACACAAACACGCACACACACACGTATTTATGTACTAGGCTTTTGACTCTGTGTGAAGGCTTCTGGAAAAGGCCACCTAAAAGTGCTCTGAGGATCTCTGAAAAAAGAAGTCAGGAAAAACAACCCATTTCACACAGGGGAAAAGAAATACTGTGGCTTAGTGGGTAACCATGAGCCTCCTCAAGGAGTGTCCGAGGGAATTGCCTACAAGGACACGATGTGTCCATGAGCTCTTTGAGGCCTGTGAGAAAGCCCAACACCCTTTGGCAAAGCTACAGGTCCCCAAGAAGGCAGAGATTCACGGCAGCCCCCAAAGTCATCAAAGCTCCCATCTACAGCACCGACTGCTAAAGAGCAAGACCCACGCCAGTAGCACAGTGCCATCGCCATGCCATGGGTGCTGCCAGCAGACCAATGTGTTTCCCAATGGCCCCTTCCATTGGGAAGCTGCCTCCATGGGGATTGCCGTCACTCCAGAGTTTTGCAGTCGATACTGGATTTAGCTGGTCGAAACCCATGGCCATATTTAAGGCAAACAGTGGCCTAAACACCAAATGCAGAGAATAAACGACAATACAAAATGACTAAGGCACCAAATAAGAAGGTGTCCCACCAAGAGAAGTAGTAGTACAGGATGATGTAGCTCCAAACAGATTTCAAACTGCTTTTTGGCACTTCCTATATGGTGAGCAGTTACTTCTGCACCTTGTGCACCCTCTTCTACACAAGTTGCTTTCGTCTGGGTGGTGGTGGCATGTTATAAAAGCGTGTGTGCATATAGTGTATGTGGTCCTGGCACAAAAAAATAGAAAAGAAAAAAAAACCAAAAAGATAAAAATAGGATCTCAGTTCTCCAAGCTTGCTTTATGGTTGTTTTTCTAACAAGTGCTTAAACATTGTTTTTAACCACAGAAATCAGATACTAAGAAAACTTTCATCTTATTCCTACAAAATCAAAATGGAGATTTTAAGTCATACCCTAGCATGGAAACAAGAGTTTTCGTGCTCACTAGAGGAAGTTATTTCGTAATGTGAATTTCCTTGGTACTTCTCCTAGCAAGGTGCCCAGACTTACATGACTAAGAGTTACCCCTGTTTGCATAACCAAAGCTCACTGTCGCCAGGTTTACTAAAACTACAGGTGTGGTGCATGGAAACTGTGGGGGCTACGTGGCTCGCACGTGAGACAGCGAGGCCCACACTTCAGGCCTGAAGATGACAGATGGGCCTGAGATCAAAACAACTTGGCCTTGGTGGACGTGATTGCAGCGTGGCAGCAGGATTCCCTGAGCTCTTGCTTATGGTGTGAAGCAAATCAGGCCGAGCCTCAGCTTCCCACTTAGACCTAGATTGGGTTTCAGGAGTATCAAGTTTTGTAGGTGCAGTAATTACGGTATTGAGATATCTGTCATGAATGGGCAGGGATCTCGCTACGCACTCCGCTTTGCTGGCATCTCCCATCACGTCGAGGCAGAGCTCCTTGAACACTGTCCTCATCCCGAGCCACTGTTGTGGAGTGGCCAGGGGATCCTGGTAGTAGAGGTTCTCCTTCGTGCCACCACCAGCTGAGCGGTGGCTGGCTCGAGGTCCAGGGGCCGAGCTGTGGAAAATCCCTGCCTCAAAACCAAAAGGGCCTGGACGTGAAGCTTCTATTTCTAACTCAGAGCCTTCCTGAAAACGTTTTTCATTAGAAGACAGAGATGGCGGGCAAAGAGGAGAGGAAACAAGGAGACCCGGTGACACAATGGAAAAAAAAAGCGCACAAACTTCCTGCCCTCCCTCATGTGAGGCCCTTACCTCATCTGCTCTGCTATGGTGGCTTCAAAAAGCCCAGCTCCAAATCATCTCTGAACTTCGGGAAGCCCCAGAAGGTTTAAGCAATGGCCTAAACAACTTCAGGGCCCGCAGCCCAGCTCAACACCTCTTGCAGCTGATTTATCCCCCCACTGACTTCTGAGCTGTTTGTGGATACGGTGCTTGAGGGAAGACCTGGTACCCGCTGTGGTGGCACGAGCAAGGAGGGCACCTGGCTCTGCGGAGTCTCTGCGAGGGTTTCGAGCCAGCACTGCAAGGGGGCACCTCCTCTAACAGCACCGTAGGGTAAGAGTAAGGGGGAAAATTACATTAAAATAAAGCTGCAGGCATGTTAGCAAAAATAAAAATAACCATTCTGGGAGAAGTTCCCATCGGGCAAGGTGAAGCCTTCCTTAACTTGCCGTTTTATTTTGAGGGTGCCAACGGAGAGAGTTTTGCACTTCCTTCACAGTTCCTATTCACTTCATGCCATGACCCCAGCTGGCCAGGCCCACAGAAAACTGCTTGGTGCTTATGCCAGGGCTGATTTCTGCAGGCCCTGGATTAAGTTATCCCATGGCAAAGGTTGTGGGTGGTGGGAGCCTAGAGCAGAGGGCGGTGGGAGGTCAGACCAAGGTGGGTCCTTTCCTACGATACCTCTTGTTGGTGCCAGCTGCCCTGGGCATTACACCTTTAGCCTCTGCTGATAGAGGCGTTGGTATATAATACACACATACATACAGGTGTGTGTATATATATTTACACATATATACATATATATGTGTCTGCTTGTGTGCCCAGCCATGCCTTGACTGCCTGAAGGACCTGCTCTTCTCAGAAGGACCCTGGGCTGGGACAGATTTAAACAGCCATAGGAATCAAGGGGAGGCAGCCTGAGGAAGGTCACTTAATCTACTGCAACCTTCACCGGACAAACAAGCAGCCAAGTCCAGGGCTCTGCAGAAAAGCCGAAGAGGAGCATTGGAGCAATGACAGGGCCGGCTTGGAGCGCCGCGGGAGGAGCGGCCGCGGCGCTGGCGGCACAGGCCTCGCTGCGGCGGGTGGAGCTCCCTGCTCCCTGCTGCTGCACCTGCCGTGCACGGGGCAGGAGCCTGTTTTGCACAACGGAAGCACCCACTTCCTTTCCTTTACACCTAAAAATAAATAAATAAAAAATAAAAAGCCAAGGCGTGCTCCTCCTGCCCATTCCCAAGCGCTCGGTGCTGCTGCCATCCGGACCTTGGGTGGGCTCACCTAGCCCGTGGGCTGGTGGCAAGAAGCCCCGGTGCCGGAGGAGGAGAGTGGATCGCGGGGAGCTCAGGTAGCTCTGCTTTGTGAGGGGTGAGATGGGGGTGGTGTGGGGAGGTTTTCCTGCCTCGCATGTAGGTCCCCATGGTGAGGCTGCAGGGCAGAATGTGCCGTCAGGCTTGGGATGCCAGTGGACCTCTTGCCTTGCGTATGTCTGGCTGCCATGAGGGCGTTTTGCCAGGTTTAATCCAAGATTTATGTCCTCGATGGTGCTAGTCCATGGAGATGAAACTCCCACCCAAGTGAACACAAGGACAGGGGACCCTCCTGGGTGAAATCCCAGCCCTCCCAGTGATGGCACCAACATGGCCCTTGCCACAGGAGCCCAGGGTTTCTGCTGTCTGTGCTTCACACAAAGCATTAGAGGAGCTCAGGATCCCACTTTCTTTAGGTAAAACACTGGCATGGTGCTAAGCGCTGGCTCTGCAGGTGTCTTCTGTGCCACGGTGGACCAAGGACAAGTTAGCTCTGCGCAAGCACGAGCAACCTAAGTCCTGACAGATGGACATAGAAACTCTCCTTGTACAAAGCAGTAAGTTTTGTAATTTACTCAGGGGTTCTTCCCTCATCAGGGGTTCTTTCCCTTTGGGAGATATAATGCTAAAACTCTTGAACTACAGAGTATCTCCACTAGCAGAAAGTTGTTTAGCAAATTTTCACTATTACTCCACTACATTTAACTTGTAGCAATTCATGGCAATATCATCTACTGTGTGATTTCTATACAAGTGACTCACCATACATGAGTATACAGATTAGTAGAGTCTAATGCAGCTATATTGTAAAATATTATAAATATTATGCAATTAAAGAATGGGCTGGGCTTTACTAGCACATGGGGCAGATCTAGGTTTTACTTAACTGTAATCTTAACCCTGACATTTCTAGGCTTAAGTGTTTTCCAGTAAAACTCTGAATAGCTCTCCATGGGAATTTCCTAGTTTTTAGGAGTTTTGAAAGGAAGGGGAAAAAAAGGCAAAAAAAACAAGCAAGATAATCACTGCTAACTACAACAAAAATACCCCAAATCACTAAAAAGAGCCTGAAAACCTCTTGGTCCCTGAAAGTCTTGGTGGTCTCCAGTGGACAGCGGTGGTGGGGAGGACCGTCCTGCGGCGTCAGGGGAGGCTGTGCTCCTGCAAACACCTCGGGGAGCACCAAAGCGGAGGGAAGAGCCTCCCCACCGCACAGTGCATGGATGCTGGGTGGGTGATTCAGGGCCCTCCACTTGAAGGGAGAAGCTCAAGGCCATGTGGTGCGGACACGGCTGCAGAACGGACCGGCCACAGGGGCTTCAAGTGACCTTCACTGTGCAGTAAATTGTACCATCAGTGGGAATATTATCCCAATAAGGGCAAATCCCGTTCAGTTGTTGCCAGTTGCCAGGTCTGGGGGTCTCCCTGCATATGTGTGACACATGAAGCTACGTTTTGCTGCCTCCCAGGGGCTCAGGGCTACACAGGGGCTTGCGTTGGCCACAGGTCCGTGAGGGGAGGATTTGCCCTGGCTTTGCCAGAAAAGGGCCCTGCACTTGGAGCCCCTCCGTGGGGCAGTGCCAAGGGGCAACGCTCCAGGGGTGCTTGCCAGGCAGAGCTGGGCTTCTTCTCCTTGCTCGATCGCACTTTGCCTCCTTGCAGAGAAGCGTCCAGAGTAAAAGCTGAAGTCGGCTAAGATTTCGGGAGGGATTTCTGTGCCTGTACAGTCATTTTATCTTCCCTGCTCTCAGCTCACTGCTAAGAGTAACACCCCCCACCCCACCCCCCGCCACAAAATGCCTCTCACGCACCGACTGAAA